ATAGAGTTACAAAATGATAACGTAGATGAAAACAATGGACACAAATTTTTCGTATTTTTTTATATCACAGTTTTTTAAATAGTGTACTACGCATTCCTGTTTTACAGATGCTTCCTTCACTCAAGTGTATACAATCGATACCTTTGGTGTGGGTATATACATGGCAGAGCTGACAAGAGCAGAAGGCCTTGATTCAATCTGCTTTTCAACATGAAAACTGCCTTGCTGGTAAAAAAATTAAAAAAAAAAAGCTCATGCTATTTACTAAAAGCAGGCTCCTTATCTCCAGAATGGTCTTAACTAATGGTCTTAACTATCCCTGTATAGGGGTTTCTTCTGGGAAAAGATAAAACCAGAATTTTTGGATTTATGAGGCATGCATCGCTGGAAAGTGTCCTGTCAGTTGGAATAGAGAATAAAGATGTTCACAGATAGACTATTCCCCACTGTGTGGGGCCATGGCCACTGTGTAACTCCCTTAGAGACCTTATTTTTTATCTTTTCAACCTACTCTAATCATCATTCTCAAAGTATTCATTTGTATAGATTAATTAAATATCAGTTGACTCCTTTGTAATATATTTAAAATTTTTAAATAGTATTGGTTAACTTAACCAGATGCTAAAACATGTGCTTTCAACCTATCATTTTTCTTTATCATTTTATGTTTCTATTAGTACAAGTAAAGTAGGTTCTGAGTAGCCTAATTTTCTTTCATAATACTTATAATAGCCTCAGAGTTAAGTCAGTCATCTCAGTGTTCTGAGGGTTACCTTGACGATGTCTATAAATTATCCACTAGTAGTTCAATTAATTCTGACTTACGTAATTTAGTGCTTACATTATTCTTAATTATGTTTGTTTTAAAGGTCTTGAAGGCACTTGTATGAGCAAAGTGGTGTCCCATAGGCTTCATTGCTCATATACATTTATAGAATTCTAATATGGTATTTTTTCAGTCTCACTCTTTCTCCTGATAAGCTAATTTATGTCTTGCAAAGAACAAGCTGAACAGATTTTCATGATGCATAGGATGATAGATGTGACAGTTCACTTCAGTGCCCTGGAAAAATCTAAAATCTTCAGCAATGTAGGGCAGTAGCCTCTCAGGTAATAAAAGAACTAGTCCAGGATTTCACCTACTCTCCCCGGTGCTACAGTGTTCAAGAACCTGCCCGCCAATGCAGCAGACTCAAGAGACTGGAGTTCTACTCCTGAGTCGGGAAGATCCCCTGGAGAAGGAAATGGCAACCCACTCCAGTACTCTTGCCTTGAAAATTCCATGGACAGAGGAGCCTGGAGGGCTACCGTCCATGAGATCACAGAGTCGAACACGACCGACCGACTAACACTACAAGTATTTAATACAAATATTTATAAAAGAACACTGTAAATAATAAGCTACTAGGAACGTTGCTATTATCACAAGAAGATAGAAGATTTCTAAATAAAGTCCCTAAAAAAACACCAGGTAAAAGAATAAAATTTTCAAAGACAGATTAAAAAGTTACAATTTCATATTTTAACTTAAGGCCAATTTTATTTCTCTACATATGGCAAAAAAAACTTCAATTATGTAAAGAGTCAGTCATTTATTGTTAAAGCAACGTCATACTTATTTGTAATTGATAATACTTACCTGAATATTTGATTCTCCATATCATGAGTTTCATAAAAATAGTCATTACAGCACTCTTGGAATTCATAATCTAATTTCAAATCAATATTCACAGACTCACAGAGGGAAGCTGACTTAGTATTAAATTCAGCATGGGAACAGCATTTCGAATATAACCATCTCTACTGCTACTCACTGTCTTAGTTGCATTTTAAATACCTATTAGATTTTACAATTAAATTCTCATATTTACTCTTCTCTAAATGTCAGTGATTTAAGAATGATTTCCCTCTAAAACACACCACACTTTAAAATACATTTAAAAAAAACCCGGTCTATTAAGCACATCTGTTTCCAACTCTAAAAATTGCTAATCTTTCCATCAGCAGTTTTTAGCCAGGCATGTATTTGTTTGTAAGTTTCAGGCATTTAAAAAGAATTATGCAATATTCAAAAACTTTTATAGATGAAAAGCTACAGTAAAAGGAAGGGTCATTTATTAGAATTGTTGAGAGGTAGAGTAAGAAAGGAGAATTCACATGAAGTTCCAGAGGATGTATCATGCTAACTTTTTCTGACTGTCAACCAACTTATTTGAATTTTAAATATTTCACGCTTATAACTACTGTACAATGACCTTTCTAAATGTACTGTAAGATTCCTGTCTTTGACAATCTATCACAAAACAATTAAACAAAGAATATATAAAAATAACATGTGACTAAGTATTTTTATTGTCTAAATTTTTTTAAACATTCTATAATGTTTTATAAAAGTAAATGATATGTATATACCACATGACTTCCAAAGTCTCTGAATATCACAAATTCCCTTTTAGGAGGTGGAAAGAAAATATTAAAAAAAAAAAAATCCCATGTAGGGATTTCTCCAGTGGTCCAGTGGTTAACACTGTGCTCCCAATGCAGGAGGCGTAGGTTCCATCTCTGATCAGGGAACTAGCTCCCACATGTCACAACTAAGGCCTGCCACAGCCAAATGAATAAATAAACATATTTTAGAAAACTAATTGCCTGTAAATAATTCAAATGATATTTTTTTAAATCTCTGTTAACTTTTCATCCTCTGCAATAAAAACTCTTTTTTTCATTCATTGCCAGTTTTCTTCATTTTTCAGAGTTTTAGTTCATTTAACTGAAAGATGCATTCAAAAGTTCAAATATCTAAACAAATTTTCCTCAACAATTTTGAAGCTTCCTCTATTCCAAACATTCTGTCATTTTATCTAGTAAAAGGATCACATATGTTTTAATATACATTCCTGCATGGGCATAAAAATATAGACCCTATTTACACTGTGAAATGCTACGTTGGTTTTATTTTTTCTCATCGACAAAGCTGTGTTAAGCAATTTAAAGTAGACATTTTCCAATTTGAAACTCTCAAATATCATCTTTGAATAGAAAACACTAAATGTTTTAAAATATAATTATCATTTTGTAAACCAACTCAAAACCATGAGCTTTTTCAAAAACAGTTGCTTTGGAAAAACTAAATTGATGTTATCAAGTCTGCACTGCCCACTAGCGGCAGGAGATTGTAAATGCACGATTTCAATTAAAGATGCATTCTATCTTAAGAATTAATTTTCTCAATCAGATTTAGAACTCATTCTAAGACAAATACACATACATCCTAAGCATAACAGTGTTCACACCCAGAGACATCATGTTCACTTAGGTACCCGTGAATATAAATACGGTGAATCCATCATAAATGTGTGTCTGTATACACACATACATCACATACATTCTCACGGTTTAAGATGCAAACAAACCCCTCTGACAGTATAACATGAATCCATAAGGCAGAAATAAACTTTATCTAGCTTAACTTTTTCAAATTTACGTCTCATTGAGAAATGTTTCCAAACTGTCTGTGGTTCTCACAGTTTGAAATTATCTTTACTTAAAAAATGATTTTTAGGCAGGAGACGTTGGGTTGAAGGAGCAGACTAGTTGTAAACCTGTGAATGATGGTAACTATGCTCTACGCATGTCAGATGCCTGCAAATGACCCATAATAAGGAAGGCACGTGGGGGCTACAGAGGTTCATGCATATATTCCCTCACTGTATCTCGGCAGACTTGGGTCAATGACTCCACAGTTTATCACTTGCTGGAAAAAAAACCTGCAGCAACATTCACATGGAATTTCATAAACAGAAACTATTGCTTCTGATGAAACTGGTGGAGGAGTGTTTTAGATGAAGGCATAGTTACATAATATTTTGATCCACAGCTTCTTTAGACAGCTGTCAGCACACCAACAGATCTTATGTGTATTGGTTGCTGTTCAGTTGCTCAGTCGCGTCCGACTCTTTGCGACCCTATGGACTGCAGCATGCCAGGCTTCCCTGTCCTTCACTATCTCCTGGACTTTGCTCAAACTCATGCCCATTGAGTCAAGGATGCCATCCAACCATCTCATCCTCTGTCGCCCCCTTCCCTTCTCCTCCTGCCTTCAATCCTTCCCAGCATCAGGGTCTTTTCCAATGAGTCAGTTCTTTGCATCAGGTGGCCAAAGTATTGGAGCTTTAGTTTCAGCATCAGTCTTTCCAATGAGCATTCAGGGTTGATTTACTTTAGGATTGACTGATTTGGTCTCCTTGCAGTCCAAGGGACTCTCAAGAGTCTTCTCCACCATATATGTGTATATATGTATACAGCACACATATGAACTAAACTGTAATTCATTTGAGAGCATTTAGCCTGTCAGTGCTTTTGTTCAATATTTTGCTTTACTTTGATCTCCTTATTATTCTGTCTCACACACTTGCCCAGCACAGTGTCTTAGCACACAGAATACACACAATATTATTTAAATAATGAATATTAATAAATCATGGAAAGCATTCATGATAGCATTTTATTGATGAAAGCACAAAGGAATTGTATAAAGGCTAATGGCTAATTCTGAATAACTATAATGCCAATATGAAAAGAACCTAAATACATTTAAGATAAATGAATATTTTCAGACAGCTTTATAAAAGAGTAAGATAAAGCTGTTTATTATAGATGCTCGGATAAGACGGCATCTTCAGCTGTCTATCTCCTCATATGTGACAGAACTGGATAGTTAATTGTGTCATGTGGTTGATCATTTAAACTGTGTGTTATTTTTAAAATATTCAATAAAAATGAATGTATTCATTTTTAATGAATTGTAGAACAAGATTTCTTATTGCTCAAGTTTGATTCCACGGATTCCACTATTGATACAGGAGTTGAAATCTCTCTCTTACAGAAGGAATTCAATCTGTTAACCTCCTTTTCTCGTCTACTCAGCCTTCTGCCCACCAGGTTTCACATGGAACAGAGAAAATACGTTCACTCTCCCTTTATATTGTTCACCTCCCTACCTGTTTCAGACTTTTTGCATTTGATTCTTTCAGTTCTTCATACTTCCATTTCCACACAGACAAAGCCGACTCCAGTCGTTCTATCTCTTTTTCCAAAGATAAGCGCATTCTAAACAGAGAACCAAAAGCGAAATAGTCTTACAATTTAAAAACAATTTTAGGAATGCATTCAATTTTAGATTTTCTATTTTCCTAATTTCTGATATTTGCATATGATCATTGTCATGACAGAAAACTTTCTTTTAGCTTATTAAAAATAGCAAATATTGGATAAAAGTTTAATTTGTTTTTCTGCCAACTGGCTTTACAGTAGTTTAAATATATGTAATTTGGCTTTGCCAGTATCAAATAATTGACTTTCTGCCTACTTTCTCCTGCATTGTTCATTCATTTCTTTCAATGTTTCTTATTCATATTGTTTCCTTACACAGGAGGTATATATGTTTCTAAGTTTAACATGGTTTTAATCCAACTTCATACTGTGACTGTATATGAAGAATTCTTTGATATGACAAAGAATACTAAGGAGCCCACCTAATGATTTAAGTAATCAATCATTTATTGGAGATACAAAAATACTGTATTTTTTGCAATTCTGTTTTAATAAAGTAATTTCCCTGGGATCTTTAAATTAGTTAAAATAATTGGAATTAATTTCTCTATTTGTAGAATAAGTGACAAAACTTGAGTTAAAATCTGGTCCTTTAGTATCTCATCACTGATTATTTTTCCCATGCCCACATGTCTGTTACAGTGAATCTCTGAAAATAATTGTTTATTTCCAGTTGTAATTAACAAAGGTCAACCTTTACAAATGGCTAGTCCTCATCCGTGTAGTAGATGGGGTGCATGGTAAATTACTTCAGTCATGTCTGACTCTTTGAGACCCTATGGACTGTAGCCCACCAGGCTCCCCTGTCCATGGGATTCTCCAGGCAAGAATACTGGAGTGGGTTGCCGTGCCCTCCTATAGGGGATCTTCCCGACCCAGGGATCGAACCCGCATCTCATGTCTCCTGCATCTGCTGGTGGATTCTTTACCACTAGCGCCACTAGATTGCTGTTACAAATACTCATTCTCTCTCCTCTACTTCCATGGACAGAGTTGCTTTCCCCAGCCCTCAATTCTAGGCTTTGACAATGAGATATTAGCCAAAGTGATGGACTGCAGAAATCTGAACTGAATTTGTGTGGCTAGGCTTCTTGTCTTATGCTTCAGCCATCACCGTGGAAAGAGCTTCCCCGGGAACTTCTGTCCCCCAAATAAACACAGGAAGCAGATCTGAGTCCAACCTTATCAAGAAGCTGAGCCCAGCTGGGCTAGTGGAGGTCAGCTGACCTTGCATCCACCTGAACAAAACACACTGTTGTCCCAAGCCACTGAGTTATAATTATCTTTTTATGCAGCTGAAGAGAGCTGATAAAGGAAATGATTCTTACAGAGGGTGGCTGCAATAACAAAATGAAAAAATACATAGACTTAATTTGGGGATCAGATGGTGGACAGAGGCTGGGAAAAAAAAACAGTGGTAAAACTTAAAAAGCTAGAAAAATAAAATAATAAAATATAAAAAATAATGATACATGTTATTTTCCGGTGAACACATGGCAAAATTGTCACTTGCTGTGACTTGGAAACAGAAAATGTGCCTGACATTACCAACGGAATGTCATTTCCATATTTACAAGAAATATGAATCTTCTAGCTAGCAATACTACAAAAATAATTTAAAATACAACTAGGCCAGAAACATATTAGTTTAATTCAGTCAATGGGTAAGAAGCCCACTGAGGGTGCTCCCTGATGACTGAGGGATAAAGAATCTGTCTGCCAATGCAGGAGGCACAGGTTCATTCCTTGGGTCAAGAAGATCTGCTGCAGAAGGAAATGGCAACACACTCCAGTATTCTTACCTGGGAAATTCCATGGACAGAGGGGCCTGGTGGGCTACAGTCCTTAGAATTGCAAAAGCAAAAGCAACCAAACAACTAAAGTTGTTCATTATTATATTTGCATTAATCAAGTCATAAAATGAGAGGATGTAAAGGAATTTGTTACGGCTTTACTTCACCTCAAAAGATTCAATTGTAAAAAAAAAAACAAAAACCACCAGCACCATTTATAGGACTATATTTTGGAATCCCTTATTAACACAGAAAATACATTATAGTGAACAAAGAAAAATGTTCAATATTGAAGTTGAGGTCCCACAAGGACTCCAAAAATTCTGACAGATAAACAGACTTAGCCAGCGGATGATACCCCAGCTGCTTACCACACTATGATTTTTGCCTGAGCAACTCTGTCTGGGATTTGAAGAATAGCACCAGGTACAGAAACAATGAACAAGCTTCCAAATACTAATATTTTGTGTTGAATATAGAAAGAATATATAAAGTCAATTGTACATCAACATATATGTTTGGCATTTAGCTTTTGAAGTTTTTGATGATAAGGCATATTTAAATATTTGGAAGTATTGACTTAAACTTGGAAATTTAAGTTGAAAATATAATAAAATTGTACTATTTATGATTTCATTGAAATGTTTAAGAATCACTGTATTTACAATTTTAATTTATTAGAATTACATGAGGAGAAAATGTTTTTATCAGTAATTGATAATTTTTAAAAGGAAAAGGAAAACCTTAAATTAATAAAATAAGTTTATTAAGGGATATTAATCAACTATATTTGTGTAATGAAAGTGTACAGTGATAAATTTTCTCAAAATTAATTTTGAGAATTATTGTATTTATAAATAGAATATAAAAATTATTCTTGAAAATTTGAGAAAAGTCTAAATTTATAAATTCAAAATTACATGTGTTGAGAAATCATTGTCAGCTTGTAACATTATACTTTAATAATCAGATTATAATGTTAGCAAAAGAAGCTCATATTAACATTAAAATGATTCATAATTACTGTAGAATAAGTGCTGATCCTCAAAAATATCGTAAAAATTATTGGGGTAACTATTCTCTCAGGAATTTTATAAGAAATTCAAGAAGAACCTTTCAAATGATATGTCAAGCTTTTAATCCTAGTTTGATATAAAAAATATAGATATAGTCTAAAGATACAACTATATTTAGATTATATCTAGACTCAGAATAAGTAATCAAAGCCAGTTCATGAAGAAAAATAATTGAATTTTGCAAAGTATATTAAAATGAATTACATAACCATTTGTATTCTTTATTTAAGGTAGATTAGTCACATTTAAAATACTGCATTATTTCTCTCTTTAGGTATGCATCTTAAAAACACTAATATTTACTAAAAGTTGTTATTATTATCTATTTATTATTCAGTAAAAAAATAAACAGAATAATAGATTATTTCTGTTATTTAGTAAAAGAAAATTATACATTTTATTATGTAAAATGGTATAATTGACTCAGAAAAGTGAGAGAACAGGCAATTCACTAAAAATTATTTAATAGCAATGTGATACTTGAATTTTTGTAGCATAGCTTTATTTAAAAAATTTGTGACTCTTCGTTTCAAGCATTAGGACATAAGGGCTGTGAACACTTAAATTCATGCAACAAAGGGCATTCTTTAAATCTTTAATTTTCTGGCCTAATCCATTTATTCTACATTTCAGAGAGATTTTCAAAATTGATAATTATACTTAAATTTATAAGTGGAATTTAAACTATCATCATATTATTTGAACTACAAGAAGGCAAAAAAGAAAAAACCAAACCTAATTTACTTTAAAGGATATTGCATCTTTTATGCACAGATTCTTTAAAACAACAAAATTACTAAGACAAAGCTCAGAAAAATACAATATTTTAATATGATGATATAAACTTTTAAAAATCAAACTGCTAAAATATATATTTCATGATCTAAAAATAATATGTGAACCAACATGGTTTTATAAACAGATATGAATATATGATTATATTTCCGTGAAATCGTTTGATATTTTGTTAACTATCCCATGATGATCTCAATAAGTGAGCATAAATTTTAAACATCTAGGTAAGATTAATCAAAATATTTTTCAGAAATAAAATCCTTGAAACATTACTATCTGGCAATAGATATTAATTCATTTTTGAAACCTGTGTGAAATTGCATTGTAAAGTATCTAGTCAGTATTTTCTTAAGAGACCTATAAACATCAAATTTTTTGCCAGGCAAAAATAACTAATTTGTAGTAAGATCTAGATATACATTTTCTGTTAGTCTAAAATTTAAAGTTCATATTACATGATGAATAATAAAAAATTATACAAGTATACTTTTAATAAGTAACATATTTGTCACTTTGTGGTTTCACTCCTATTTATAACTACATCTTTCAGCAGTAACATCTCTTAATATCTTTCATTTTCAGCATCTTTCAACAAACAGTCAAAGCCATATATAGGTAATTTAATTAGAAAAGAGATGACTTTAAAAAATACTGTTAAGCTCGGAGATGCCCAAGAGGATCAGAGGCCAAGGCGTGGAGGCACACAGCCAGGAGAAAAACCACCTCACGTCACAGAGCTGGTCCTTAGATGCCCCCACTGCCTGTTGCCTTACATTATCCTGATATCAACTATATGACTGACAATACACTCGAATCAGCTCATTTAAGTAGAAAGGGATATTAATGGCACAAGGCATCTCTGGGAGAGCCAGAAAAGCAAATGGGGATCATGCAGAGTCAGAAACACCAGAGATAAAGCCACAGAAAATCTTCCCGTCAGCACCACACTGCAGCCACCTTTTAGGCACAGACATCACGTTACAACCTCAATACCCCCAACTCAAGTCATGGGATGGTGTCACCAGACACAAGAGGTCACTTTCGGCTCTGAAAACAAGATGTGACCACATCCACTGTCTCCCCCCCTCACCAGGTTGGATTCCGGTGCACTCCTCCTTTTGGAGTAATGCCGTCTGCTAAAATATCCAGACGGCTATGTCAAGGGTCTGCAGCCTACCTGCCAAGGAAACTGAGGGAGAAACGTACTCGCGTTTTTATAGTCCATGGAGAGAGACAGACTCTCTCATAGGTACAGGACTGCCCAAACACAAAAGAGATACTTTACAGTAAAAAAAAAAAAATACAAAAATTAACTTGAAATGGATCAAAGGCTTAAATTTAAGTTGCACTTAAAGAAAGAGAGATGTACATATATAACCATGGCTGATTCATGTTGAGGTTTGACAGAAAACAAGAAAATTCTGTAAAGCAATTATCCTTCAGTAAAAAAAGAAAAAGAAACAGAGAGTAGAGTGGTGGATGCCAGAAGCTGGGAGGTGGGCAAAGCAAGGCGATGTGGTCAAAGGGCGCAATAAAATGGGCTTTCCCTGATGGCTCAGCAGGTGAAGAATCCACCTGCAATGCAGGAGACACAGGAGATGCAGGTTTAATCCCTGGGTCGGGAAGATCTCCTGGAGGAGGAAATGGCAACCTACTCCAGTATTCTTGCCTGGAAAGTCTCATGCACAGAGGAGCTTGGCAGGCTAGACTCCATGGGGTCGCCAAGAGTCGGACACGACGGCACACATGCAGATTACCAGACTTCCGTGCAATTTTTCATTGTGTTAACTGAGGAATACACACATACATTCGCATCCGTGTGTGCGTATATAGATCTGTATTTCTATCTCATGCTAATCATTGTAACATTTTCAACTTGGGATACCATCTCACCAAGATTTAAAATCTAATTTTACTAAGGAAAAACACAACACTTAATGAAGCAAAGCAAAACTCTTCTTATATTGAAAACAAATCAAGAAACATGGGTAAACCTATGGCTACTTCATGTTGATGTTTAGTAGAAACCTACACAATACTGTAAAGCAATTATCCTTCAATTAAAAATAAATAAATTAAAAGGGAGAATAAAACTCAGATTAATCAACACAAAGCCAGCATTTTTCTAAGGGATGCAGGTGCCATCTGCAGTTTAACTTTAGAACTAATTTTAAATGCTAAAACACTGCATCAGAATAGTTCATCTCATTGTCTCTCTTACTTACAATGTGATTTGCTAAAGTTCCTCTTCCTAAATGTTCAGGTACACCTGTTCTATGTGAGGATCAGTTTTCCCTCTCGCATCTCAAATTTTCTACCTGTGAAGTCATTTTTTAAAAGAGACCATAAATATACAAGTTCTCAGTACACAAACAACTTCCAGATACTGAGTGATTATTTATCAAACTGAACAATACTCAGAGTACAAATAATAGATAACGTTAAGTGTTTTCCATAAGGAGGTTCTGGTCATGACAATGTTGGGAATGAGCCCCTGAGTTCTCTAGCTTAATTGTTGAACTCTAGTCAAGAGAAGTTTCCCACTAAGTGGGAACATAGAAAAAAATACATTCCCATATTCTCAACTCCAGCCACCCACTCACTGAGATTCCAGGAGGAGGAATTTCAAAAATTAGACAGATTTATTGTAACAGCGTATACTATATCCTTGGGAAACATTCTCTTGTATAGAAGAAAAAAAAAAGACTTCGCAACTTCCTCCTGTGGATTGCTGGCTAATGTTAATTCATGGACTCATGGGACTGTTTCTTAAAGGGAAGAGTAAGAAAGCAAAATGGAATCAAAAGTCCCATTTCCACCTTCATTCTCTAGCCTGTCTTCAGTTTATATACGGAAGCTGCTAAGAACTGGAGGATTTACTTACTATGGGAATTACTCACTTATCCCAGGAAGTCAAACATACACAATTGCATACATGAGTACATGTGTATAGTGAGAGTGTAAAGACACAAAGGTGTATCATTCAAGCTGGCACCTTGGGGAGTTGACACGTCGGAAACAGCATTTTCACATTATTCCTGTTATGATATGTTGGTGAAGTAACGTGAGTGGGTTGGAAAGAAGTCTATAACCACTAAAAAGTTAAATCCTTCAAGAAATGAAGCCCAGAGCTTAGAAGTTGACTGAGACTTGTAGTTCCAGAGTAAATTAATTGTTAACATGGGTGCAGGACTCTTGCCCGGAGAATCCCCATGAACAGAGGAGCCTGGCGGGCTACAGTCCATGGGGTCACAGAGAGTTAGACATGACGGAGTGACTAAACCCAGCACATGGGTGCAGGCATAAAATTCAATCTTATTCTCTTTTGTTACTAATGTTGATCACCTCTGTTAGGAATTTACACTTTGTAGTAGAATAATAAATATTTATTACCTACACAGATACTTGTGTCATCACAATCTGCATATGGTGAGGTACAGACAAAGAATCAGAAAAAGGGAATTAGAGGTAGGAATAAATTTCAGAGGAACTCACGAGAGGCTTGTGGCTGACAGAAAAGGATTGACAGGTATAGAGCTTAGAGTATTTGTGAGAGGTCTGTGTGCATACTTAGCACTGTTTCAATCCATTTAAACCAGGGGAATTAAAACCGTTATATAATATATAGTTATATGCATACTTAGTGACAACATACATTACTCCCAGTTTTTTTTTTATTCTGTCCATTAAGAATCTTATAACAAAAGAGAATTGAAAATTATTTTCAGATCTAGGGGCCACATTTTAAAGTACCATTGAATACTCCACACAATGCTATTAATTTTCTAGGGTAATCAAGAGGGAACAACAAGAAGAAACTCATGTTGAGTAACTCATATTAGAGGCTGCGTTCTCAGGCATTGTGTTTGAGCCTCATAAGACTTCAATGCAGAGGGCAGAAGTGGTACCATGTGACTTGTGAAGCAAAGTCATTAAAATACCATCTATTTCTCTCTGTGCCCTTCAGATGTGCACTTTTAGCCAAGCCATTATAACACGAGGAAGACAAGCAGCCTCACAAATAGGCCACGTGAAGATGTTTCAACTAAGACCCAGACGAGAAAAAAAGATCAACTGCCAGATCTGGGAGTAAGTGAGGCTTCAGATGATCTACTACACCCCCACACACCTAAAGTCACCCTGTCCTTTGGGCCATCCCAGTTGAAGACACCTGTAGCAAGAGATGAGCTGTCCATACAGATTCACACTCAAGATTCATGAGCAGAATACCTGGTGATTGCTATCTCAGTAATAATCATCATTTGGGAAATTCTGTTATAAAACAATAGATCGTTGGAACACAGACATCACTATCCATATTTTTATGAAGCTGACAATAGCACACTCTTGGTTAATCCACTATCACATAGTTAGAGTATATCAGAACAAAATGAATGTCAGGGTATATTAATCTCAAGTCTAGTGTCCTTCCTCTATAACCCAAATGGTAAATGAAGAAAGCATCTTTTTTTTGCAATCAATACCTCACAAAATTGTGAACTGTCCATCATGAATATTAACGTATCCAATTTTATTGACTCACTGAAACCCATGAGTGCTGTAAAAGTTAGATAATACACAGGCTATTTTAACCATATACATTAGTAATTCAAATATAATAAAGGTGAATCTACCAGAGATGATGAGAACAAGGCTATGATAAAAAAAATTATAAAAACTAACATAACTTTTCAAAATTCAAAAAATGAATATAAAATTCAAACACATTTTTAAATATTAATAATTAATATTTTAGTCATAGGCAAAATACTTTACCAAATGGCCAGCTTACTAGACTTAACAATTTTAAGAAGTTTGAAAGACAGACTTGATTAAGGAAGACAGTGATTAGCACTTACTCCCTTTCTTTCCATAAGACTTTTTGGAAATCATCCAAATGCCCCTGCAAAGCTGAAATTTCAGGCACTTCATTCTCCAGAGGCAGATTTATTGCCTGCAGTCTTAATCCAGGTCTCACGGCACAATTTTCAGAACCGCCATTCTTGAATAAATCAGGACAGTCTAGACTGAGTTTCACCTCCTCACTTAATTTTAACGGGTCAATAATCAAACTTCCTTCCTGAAAGAAAAAAAAAAATACAAAACAATGATTAGTGTTGAATTTTAAAATTCAATGTAGAGAAATCATGAAAAAAACATTTTTGAATGGAAATAAAATCTTATGATTCAACATCAAATTTTTATTTTCATTTATTTATCATTCTCTAATAGTGGTATATGGTCAAAGTTTAACTTATAATTTCTCAGGCTTTTTTTCCCTTTTAATGTTCTACCTTATTCTAATAAAACAAGTATCCCCACAGTGTTTTAAAAGTTTTCATTTACAATGAAATCTACATTATATCTACCATAAACCCTATATATCACAGAAAAGCTTAACATTTTAGATGGACTCATAGAAGAGCAAGAGACTAATTTATTTTTTTTGTTTTAGAGGTAGAATTAAATAGAAAGGAGTAATAATATAAACAGTAAATAGTATAAACTATTTAAGGAGATAACATGAATTCCTAGTTTCTTTAAGCATATTCTGTGAGTTGTTAATGAAAGAAAGTGAAAGTGAAAGTTGCTTAGTTCAGTCCAACTCTTTGCAACCCCATGAACTATACAGTCCATGGAATTCTCCAGGCCAGAATACTGGAGTGGGTAGCTTTTCCCTTCTCCAGGGGATCTTCCCAACCCAGGGATTGAACCCAGGTCTCCTGCATTGCAGACGGATTCTTTTACCAGCTGAGCCAGAAGGGAAGCCCAGTATTTATCAAATTACCACATGACCCTACAATCCAACTCCTGTGAATACACCCAGAGAAAAACATGGCCCAAATGCACCCCATTGTTCATTGCAGCACTGTTTACAATAGCTAAGACATGGAAGCAACCTAAATGTCCCTCGACAGAGGCATGGATAAAGAAGATACATGTATATAAGGGAATATTACTCAACCATTAAAAAGAATGAAATAATGCCATTTGCAGCAACATGCATGGACCTACAGATTGTCACGAAAAACAATGCATGTATATGTATAACTGAATCACTTGGCTGTACAGTAGAAATTAACACAACACTGTAAATCAACTATAACTCAATAAAAAAATTTTAAAAAGAGGAGGAAATTTGGACAACAGACACACACCAAGGAAAAAGCATGTGAAAACACAGGGAGAAGACTGTCTGTGAGCCAAGGAAGAAGGCCTCAGGGGAAGCCAGCCCTGCTAACACTTTGACCTCAGACTTCTAGCCTCTAGAATGGTGAGAAAATAAATTCCTGTTTCTGAAGTCATCCAGTCTGTGGTCCTTAGTTCTAGCAGCCTAAACAACAAATCCAGTCACCACTGGCTTTGCTGTCTTCCCGCCCCCTCCTTATGACTAGACCCAGCATTCACATATGCACGCAATCTCTGGATTCTTCTCCTGACCTTACTATTTGCGTTCTCCTTGGTGGGAAATTCTCTTTTTCCCAAACACTCTCTGATGGACTCACGCGTTTCGGAACCAATTTGCAATGGGTCTCTCTGTGGACGGGCCGCTTCGGGGAACTCGGGCAGCTTCCGGTCCTGGGCGGCCTCCGCCGGATGCGGCAAAGGCCGCTTCTTTTTCAGAGCGCTCAGTTCCTTCACGGCCATGTCTAACTTGATTCTGAGTTGCCTGCCTTCCTCCCTGGCGCTGTTCCTTTCGGCTCGAACTTTACTCCACTTTTCTCGCCAGTTAGCGGTGCAGTCCGACCACCACCGCATGGTCTTCTCCATCTGAGCGGCGCGGGCCTTGACCTCCTCCAGCTCCCGCAGGCGGAGCTCGGCGCCGAGATCCCACTCGCTGGTGCTCCAGGCGGGAACACGGCCACTGTGAGCGGCAAGAGACTGCGGCCGGAGAGGAGACGGACAGGAGCTACCGGGGCCCCCGGGGGACGGGGCAGGTGCCGCCAGGTCGCACGGTGATCTAGCCCCCGACTGCTGCATCCCGAAGATGTGTGTTTCCTCAATTAACCGATGAATGGAATCTAAATTCATGTTTATCTTTTCAGGCCTAAGAAAGGACAGAGAACATAATTGCATATGAATTTTCTCTGCAGTGATAAGAGCAAGACCTACCTTAAGTTGACAGAAACAATGCATCTTTTCAACACTGCATATTTTTCTTCCCACTGTAACTGAAAATATACAGGAATTTGTGCGTTCGTAATTATCCTCAAAGAAACAGAAATTGCTCCCATTTAATTTTGCTGAACAAATACAAATAAATACGCAGAGACACAATTGGGGCTAGCGTGGGACTTGAATAGTTCATGTTAACAAATCCGGTTCTATTCAGGTAATATTTATTGCAACACACATTGTCCGTTAACTGCTCAATGGTCCCCTTTTCCCTGCTAACTAAAGCACGATTTGTTCAAGTAGAAGGCAGAAGCTATTGATCTCTGGAACGGTAAAACCCTATTTCAATCCCAGGAGGGGCTAACCATCAGTGGTCTAAGTCGTCCGTGACAGACCCTCATTTAACTCTTAAAGCAACGTATGACTTGGTTCTGGCTGATGAGATGTGAGGGGAAGTCTGCTAGAAAAATGTGAAGATATGAGAATGAGAACGCTTTCCTTCTGCCTTCTTCCTACCTGGACCAAGTCATCATCTAGAAAGACAGCAAGTGTAAAAGGCATCCTGTAACGTTAAAAATGGTGGAACAGGAGAAAAAGCACCTGATGTAATGATGGAGCTGCAGCATGGAACATAGAAGCCATGCCTCTAGTCTCCTTGCTATGTGAGAACGAGTACCCATATTTATTTAAGCTATGATGAGTTTTCTGTTACTTGCTGTCATAATGACATCTAACTGATACATGAACTAATTTCCTACCATGGCTCATATCATTATAAGTTCAAAAAATAAAATATTATGAATAAGATGTAATCTTTGTCCTTAAAGATTTTATAGTCTAAATTTAAAATACTTAATATGCCTGTAAAAATACTTTTAACCAAATTTAGTATTACATTATGTGTCAGATCAATATTAACTTCCTAGGGTGTTCACAGGGTCCTCTAGGGAACACTGCTAAAGAAATGATGGACTGTTCTCCAGAAATTAAGAGGCTTCACAGATAACATAGAACAGAGTCTCAGCAATTTCAAAGCTTTAAAAGGGAATTAAAAACAGCTTCAAGTATAAATAGCAAAGACAAATTAATTGGTAAATGCAAACCTTTCTTATCAGTATGTACACCCATTACCTTATTCAATATAGCAACATAGCCACATTGAGGATTTAGCAAGTGGAACATTTTCTTTAAAATAAATGCTCAGAACATGCAGGTTAATTTACAAATTCATAAAGTTCTGTGTTTGTATGAGATTACCCATTTTTATTATCAAAGAAGATTTTTCTGGTGTAAATAATCTTAGATAACATTTTATATTCATGACATTAGTTACTCACTTTTTCATTTCCTTTTATATAGTTACAGATCATAAACTGCCTTTTTATGAACCATCTATTTAATCAACTGAAGGGGTTTCACTATCTCAATTAAGTTACAAAATAAACTTTGATTCACTGGAAAAAAAAGACGATATAATATTAAATGCATATTACTTTCAGTTGTAGTAAAAAAAAAAAACACATTTTAATAAGTATTCTGTAGAGATGCCAAACCAATTCACTCCTTATTATAGCATTTATGATGATAATACAGATTCATGGTAATTGTTTTTGTTAGTGTTAGTATATGTCCAATCATATTTGAATTAGTGTTGACTTGGAGTAAATGTTCCTTTCATTCACTGTAATTTGAGGTAATGGTAATATAACTGACCAAGTTTCTTGGACCTTTAGTAAACCAAGACCAATATATAAAAAAGAACTCTTAATTACAAGCATGTACTGTGCCATGCTCACTTGCTCAGTCGTGTCTGATTCTTGGCAACACCATGGACTGTAGCCTGCCAGGGTCCTCTGTCTGTGGGATTTTCCAGGCAAGAATACTGGAGTGGGTTCCCATTTCCTTCTCCAGGGATCTTCCTGACCCTGAGACCGTGTCTTGTTTCTCCTGCATTGGCAGGTGGATTCTTTACCACTGCACCACCTTGGTATCTGTATATGTATATTTTTATACATATAAATATTTAATGCTGTATTTCTTTTGGTAGAAATTTCCAAATGAATACAGAAATTTTATTTCAACATATTAAACTTAACCTTAATATTTTAAAAAATAAATCAGTATCATAAAATTGTAATGTCCTTAAAATATCTCATTAACTTTTATCTCACTAGTTTTCTGATGACTCGATAATTGGATTTTGGTACATAGAGATCTTACCTGTCAATTAACTCTGTATTTTTTCACATCTGACTAAACAAAATTGAGTGGGATTTAATTATTCAGCCCTTGAACTTGAACAATATTTCCTGTCCAAAAGTGTTTCTCAAGCAAGTGGGGATATGTAATCCTTATGCGTATTTATCAAAGCATTCCTTTTTCTCTATACATTTGTACCTAATCTTCATGTTTTATTTCAGATGACTATGAAAGCATTTGTCAGTGTTTGTAGCATTTGACATATGGGAAAATATTCTAATGCTTTTGAATCTGGTTTCTTATATTGATTTTTGCATAGTTTTTATCACACAAAAAAAAAGGAGTGAGGAGCACCAGGAAACTCTTGGAGAAGATGGACATGTTTATTATCTTGAAAATGATGGGTTTCATGAGTGCACACATAGGACCAAACTCATCAAATTGTGTACAGTAAATACATTCAGTATGTTATACCAGTGACACCTCAATAAAGCTGTTTTTAAAAATATCAGGCTGCCATGATTACTGCAAGTAGTTTTGAGTGCAGTATATAGCCATATTAATAAAATTTGATGGGTCCACAATGTATAGACTATATTATTAAATGTATTATTTCTTGCCCACGAGGGGTTTTCTATACAAGACATTGGACTCCAGAGTCTATTGGTGTGAGTTCTGCTTGTCATTTTCTAAGTAGGTGATCGTGGACAAATCACACAAATTGCCTTTGACTCATATCCTTATTTGTAAAGGAAAACAGAATTATCATGTGCCTTGTTGAGTTCTTGTGACCATTAAGTGGGAAGCTGCATATGGAATGGCTAGCCCAGGCTGTCTCTTAGGCAAGGTGACTGTTATTCTCAGTGCTACACAAGTCACTCATACGTCACCGTGGACAGTGTACTATTAAATTTTTTCAGTTTCTTTCCTCTATTTTGGTTTAGTTTAAAAAAAAAAATTGGCCACATTGTGTGGCATTCAGGATCTTAGTTCCCCCACCATGGATCAAACCCATGACCCTAGTACTGGAAGCAAGGGGCCTTAACCACTGGACTGCCAAGGAAGTCCCCTCCTTCCCTCTCTTTTGAAAGAGAAAAGTGAAAGTGAAAGTCGCTCAGTCGTGTCTGACTCTTTTCAAGTCCATGGACTGTAGTCCACAAGATTCTCCAGGCCAGAATACTGCAGTGGGTAGCCTTCCCTTCTCCAAGGGATCTTCCCAACCCAGGGATCGAACCCAGATCTCCACAGTGCATGCAAAAAGCTGTGCTTAAAGATTAGGGATAGCAACAGATAATTGTGATTTATAAGAAAGGTCTGAATGTCATGGAATAAGAGGGTATAATCTCAATTTTTTAACATATGAATATTATTCAGTGAAATGTTCAGTACTATCATTATCTCTATCCCAGATATGAAGAAACTAGGTCTAAGGGTCCTGATGCAGGTCAGACTTGGTCCCAGTCCAAGTCACAGTCAGAAGGAGTCAACCCACAGAAAAACTTACCATTATCTAAGTGAAAAGAGCCAGGAAAGAAATAAATTAGGAGTATGGGATTAGCAATATAAACTACTATATGTAAAATAGATAAGCAACCAAAACTTACTGTATAACACAGGGAAAAATATTGAATATTTTATAACAATGTATAGTGGAAAATAATCTGAAAAAATGCATGCATATACATATAACTCAATCACTTTGCTGTGTACCTAAAACTAACTCAATATTATAAAGCAGCCTCCCTTGTAGCTCAGTCAGTAAAGGATCTGCCTGCAGTGCAGGAGACCTGGGTTTGATCCCTGGGTTAGGAAGATCCCCTGGAGAAGAAAATGTCAACCCACTCCAGTATCCTTGCCTGGAAAATCTCATGGACAGAGGAGCCTGGTGGGCTGCAGTCCATGGGGTCTCAAAGAGTTGAACATGACTGAGTGACTAACACACATACTTCATTAAGGGAAAAATTAAAGAAAAATAAAAGGAAAGATTAAAAAAAGAAGAGGTCAGTCCGTTAGGGGAATTAAGGAACTTTGAATCCAGGGTCAATGCCTTTCCATATCTACTCTGGTGAGATCATCTTTTAGGTTAATTCATAAACATGTTGGGCAGAGTTCCATTCTGGATATTTTTATGTTCAGATAGCTCCCATTAAACCATCCTACAAGTAGTCAGCTGATCCTGATGTGTCTTGAGTGAATTCAATCTCCTCCTCATTGCTTAAAGGAGCTGGAAGGTCTGACCTTGTCCACTGCTCTGTGCTTCGGCCACCCTAGTGTCTGTTCCTTGCACAAACCTCGCCTCAGCGATTTCCTCTGTGCAACCCAATTGCTAGGCAGGAGCCCGGTCCCCTCTCCCCACACGCCCACTTCCCCATCCTTCAGGTAGCAGCTCGTGGGACCTATGCTTGCCTCTCTCCCATCCCCTGGAGGCCCTACATCTGAAGTCCTTCCTTTGGCCTCCTCTGTGATAGTGACATGTCTTCTGCCATCTTGGGATCTTGCTAATTACCAAGAGCAACCAATCAAGCTAACCATCACAAATTTTAACTCTCTTTGAAAGAAATAAGCAGTGTATTGTGATTTAACACACACCTACGTACTGAAAAAAAGTCTCTCTCAAGTGATGTCTTATGTTATCAGAAGAATGGGGTGGACTAGAAATAAAAGCATTTTTGGCAGAAGTTACTTTATCAGAGCAGAACAAAACCAGGTCCAAAGAGATTTTTGTTTCATTGTTTATACTTATTGCTTTACATTAACCTATAGGAAATGAATTCTAAATGAAACCTGTCTTGGGTTTTTTTTTTCTTCCTAAGAAGTATAGGATCTCTAATGCACATGCAATAATGTTAATAAAAGCCATAAGCAAGGAGAAAATAGATTGATTCAGATACTAAATATAATGCTAAGGAACATTTGTTGCTATATACGTGACATCATTCACTGGGATAAAAAGAGAAAAAGAACCAGTTTTTAATATTCAGAAAAGTAAAACATCATATTGCACTATAAAATGTGGCCTGTTAAACATGCACAAGTGATTAACATGAAAACCTATGCAATTTGTACAGGTCAAAGCAGAAAAACACAATACATTTTTAGGAGTGTTTTGCAAGAGAACACTAAATATTAAATGTGTAGACTGCAGTTGTGATAGTCAGGTAAATGAAACAATTACAGTGAATGACAATATAACATCACATCAAGATAGATCAAGTGTTGCCCACAATATTTTTAAGATATAATATTTTAAAAATCCATACACAGTGTCAAACAGACAGTTATAGTCTACATTTGTTGATGTGAATGCAAGATTTTAGAATTATATAGAAGCAGGAAATACTTGAACAAAGAAGGCAACTAAATAATACAAAATAACTATTTACAGATTGCCTATAAAGTGTACTTTATTTTCTAAAATCAGTATAGCATAAAATAAGCACAAATGTAAACATTTTAAAACATGTATATTTATGTTTTCCAAAAGTCATTATTGAATTTAAATTGCATTATCTGATCAAATAGAAATTATCTTTATTTTAAAGAATTGGAACTCATGTGATAAGCCCTGCCTTT